ACCAGTTATTTTTAGGGAGATTGTTTTCTATTGTTGCCATGATGACGGGGGTAAACCTGCAGTTTTCCTGCTTTTTCTTAATTTGGAGTATAGCTAGGGTGACATCTTAATGCCTACCTTTTCACCTTTTTAGGATAGATCCATAGAAATGGAATTATTTGATCCAGAGTTAACTGGCAGCTGCATATGGTGTTATGTGGCTGTAATCTAAAGCAATTTGTTAAGACCCTATCTCAAAATAAAGTTTAAAAGGTTATTAAGACCCTATCTCAAAATAAGGTCTAAAAGTTTAAAATGTACTTCAGTGGATGAAAACTTGCCTGGCATAGTCCAGGTATTGGGTTTTATATTCAGCACCAAAACTTTTAATAGGCATGATGGTTATAAATATAATGTGTTGATTTTTTTCCCACGTGATTTATTTTAAGTAAAGGTTGTTTTAAAAGTTAAAGTATAGGTTCTAAAGAATTAAAATACAATGTTTAGAAGGTGCTTCAAAGTAAAAATGGGGAAGGACTTCGATTTCATTATCAGCCACTCACATAATGAGTTTCAGTTCAGCTCCCTAATAATATGTCATTTTGCTTTAAAAAGAAGAAGAAAACATGGGTGAGAGATGGTTGGGTATAATAAATTATGGCATGATGTTCAGACCTTGGGCAAATCTGTTACTTGAACTAAATTTTAATTTTGTATAATTAATATTTTCAACCCTAGTTTAAGTTAATTAACTTTTACTTCCAATTTGATATGTTGTTTGAGTAGATTTAGTTGAGCTGCTTTTCAGCATAAATTTATATTCCTGTTCAGACGAACTATGGAAAATTAGGAGTAGTTGTAACCTTTTCTCTTTAATATTTTTGCATAATTAATTTGATTAAGACAAATCTCATTAAAGACCTTTAAACGTTTATGCAGTGTTAGAGAAGGATTGACATTGGCTGAATCTGCACTAGGTTAACCCTGATTCTACTTCTGCCACAAGCTACAAAGACGGGAACTAATTATCTCACCCTGGCCAGGATTGCCCTCATGTTACAGTTTTGTTCTTTCTCACTGCAGAGGCAAAAGCAACCCCTGAGAGGGGAATCATGTGCATGGAAACCTGCAGTATGACTCACCAGCTTTGGAAATGCAAGCCTGGCTGCTGTCTGGGCCCTTGGAATCCAGAGCTGCTATAATTGTTCATAAATGGGATTTGAATTTCAGAGCCTGGGAGAAAAATTAACTTGCCCAAATATAACTATAATAGCTTTTCTAGGACCAGGGCTCAAGAGCTGAGACAGAAGTTAATATCTCGAGAGTCGCAGAAGTTCCCCCATTGTCAGTGATAACAAGAGGAACCCAAAAGCAACTCAGAAAACCAGAATGGTTGGTCAGGCACATAGAAAACACTAGTGGTGGTGACGAACAACTTTAATCACTGTGCTCAGGAGGCTGAGGCAGGAGCATCACATTGTCAAAGCCAGCCTGTACCACATGACAAGTTCAAAGTCAGCCTAGGCTACGTAGTGAGACCTTGTCTCTAAATAAATGATTAGATGATGATGAAGATAGATAGATAGATAGATAGATAGATAGATAGATAGATAGATAGATAGGGGTAGGCAGGCAAGGAGATATGTAGTTGAAGTTTTTCTATGTCCCACCTGGCCTGTGGTCAGGACAAATCTCTCTCACCCGCCAGTCCTGCAGCCGCTTGGACCCAAGTAAACACACAGAGGCTTATATTAATTAAACTGTATGGCCTAATGGCTCAGGCTTCTTGCTAGCTAGACCTTACATCTTAAATTAACCCATTTCTATTAATCTGTAAGTTGCCACGTGGCTTGTGGCTTACCAGTACTTTTACATCTTGCTTCCTCTGTGTCTGGCTGGCAACTCCTGACTTAGCCTTCCTCTTCCCAGAATTCTCTTCTCTGCTTTTCCTGCCTTCCTGCCTGGCTACTGGCCAATCAGCATTTTATTTATCAACCAAATCAAAGCAATACATTCATAGTGTACAGAGCGATATCCACAGCAGAGATAGTTATAGAAAAAGATTGGGCTGGGGATATGACTGAATAGAGCACCTATTCAGCATGTGTGAGGTCCTGTTTAATCCCCAGTACCAAAGTAATAGTAATAATAATAAAATAATAAAATAATAATAATAATAATAATAAATATTTCAGAAATTTCCTGTGGACAGAAAGTCTGTTTCCTCTTTCTTCTTTGTGTGTGCCAAGGCAAAGAGCTGGATATCTGAGAGCATCAGACTCTGAGACTGCAAAGAGGGTTAGGATTAACGTAGATATTTAAAATGACAAGAAACTGCATCAGTGGAGTTATTCCATTTCAAGAGCAAAATTAGTTCAAGCAATTGCCATTGTCACTTTGGGTGGCTATAACAAATGCCAAACTGGCTGAGGTCTCACACACACACACACACACACACACACACTCACTCACTCACTCACTCACATCTAACAGTTCTGGAGGCTGGGAAGCCTGAAATCATGGCACTAGACTCTGGCCTCTGGTGAAGACTCCTTCCTGGTTGGCAGACCAGGATACTGCTGTGTCCTCCCATAGCAGAGAGATTCTCTCTCTTCCTGTCTCCCTTCTTCTTCCCATCCCTTCTCTTCCTCCCACTCCTTCCTTCCCACTCCCTCTGTTGAGCAGAGCCTCCTGGTGTAGCCCAGGCTGACTTCAAACTCGCAGTCCTCCTGCCTCAGTCTTGCCAGTGCTGGGATTACAGGAATGAACTACGATACCGAATCATATGTCTTCTTGTAATGATACCAATCCAATTGATTAGTGCTCTCATTTCCACACAAACTGTGTGCAGGTGAGTGTGTGTGTGTGTGTGTGTGTGTGTGTGTGTGTGTGTGTGTGTGTTAGAAAACAGCTTGTGGAAGTCTGTCTCACTTTCCATCATGTTGGTCCCAGATAACAAACTCAGATCTTCAGACATGGCTGCAAGTGTCTTTATTCACTAAGCCATCTGGTCCCTGGTTACCTCATTTTTAAAGCCGGAAAGAAGGCTTTGTCATAGCCTTTTGGTTGTTTTTGTTTTTGTCTGGAGATCTTAGTTTTCCTTTTAGATTTACAGTAGTAAAGTCAGGTCTGCTATGTCTTGAGTTGCTTGCTCTCTTCCCAGTTTCCACTGCATAGCATTTCTGAAGCATTGCCAGGGAGCAGCTGCCCCCACACTCGAGGCCACGCTTGCTGGCACTGCAGAAAACAGCAGCAGCAGCAGCAGCAGCAGCAGCAGCAGCAGCAGCAGGCATGACACTGTTCTGTCAGAGCCTTTCTCATTACTGTTAGAACCTTTGCCTGGTGACTGAGGTGGAGAAGATGTTATTTAGGTTGAGTGTCCAGCTGTGTGCCGAGCAGTCCATATTTAGTGTGTGAAAGGACCTGAGTTTAGTCTCCAGTACCAAGAAGGAAAAACAGGAAAGCCAAAGGAGAAAGGAAGAAACAGTATGTCTTTCGTCTGTGCCTCTGTGTGTGTGTGAGTGTGTGCATGTGCGTGTGTGTGTGTGTGTGTGTGTGTGTGTGTGTGTGTGTGTGTGTGTGTGTGTCTGTATGAAAAATAAAACCATGAAAGCATTAGTACATTTGTATTAGTATTGGAAATCTGGGGTGCAATCACATTATTGAATGTGTGAATATTAAAATTTAACAGCAGAAAAGATGAGTGTCTGAGTATGTGAAAGGAGTATTCCTTCAGGTATCAAGAGCATATCCATGAACTGTGACAGCTTTTCTTCTCACAGTTCTCAGGACCACTTTGGAGCAGCTGCTTGAACTCCTTTAGAGCATAGGAAAGCGAGCCAGAGACAACTGGGAGTGTGGGAGTCAGTGCGTTTCTCTGAGACTAATGAGCTCAGCCAAGAGTAAAACCCAAGTAAAGAAGAGTAAGAGGCAGAGTGAAAAAGTAGCCTGATAGCCGTGGCTGTACCTCCGTAGGCAGAGGATGGACTGGCTTCCTTTAAGATGGTTAAAGTATTCTGCTTTCATCCCATCCTTTGAAGTGTTTATTTCCCTTTGCTTTCTCGTTGTAACCACCATGATGAAACAGTCTTTTCAAAGATATGTCAGCTGTGTCTTCAGATTCAACATTACAGAGACATCAAGGGCCAATGGCTTAAGCACCGATTTCAAAAGACTCTAGTCCCCCTGAGTATAATGGAGTGTACTATAGCATCCCTAATGTTACAGAAGTTATCAAGGCCATAGCTACATAGGGATAACCTAACAGTACAGGTCCCTAGTTCCTTATCAAACAGACGGGGAGAGCAGAACTGGATGGATGGTGTGAAAGGTTAACTGTAGTTGTTATATAATATATCAGTGGGAAGATCTGAAATGAAAACAGTTTAGATCTACTGATCTATCATATTTGAGTGACTCCAGTCAAATTAGAAGTCCAGTACACCTTGGGCATGAACAGATGACTCATGGGTTATCTACAATTAGGTGTCCTATGTAATTAGTTGACCTAAAATTCAACTTAAAACAGGTATATAATATTTATCTCCTGTGGTAACAAAATTTATTCTATGTAATAACCATGACACACTTGTAGCACCATGTTAAATGGGCCCTCCAGAGCTCTGTATATACTATAGTTTGATCTGTTTTCTCTATATTCTTTAGGAATCTGGAAAACCATAGAAAATGAAATATCTGTCATAAAACTTTCCATTGAGCTCAACTACCATTCTCATAAAGTTTAGTAACAGGGTCAAGGAGTTTAGTCTTTATTCACTGTAGCCACAGCTGAGTTTAGGAGGCTTTTCAGAGTTGCTTAGAATTACCTTGTGAATCTGTAGTACAAAGAATATTGAGATTTTTGCCATTAATGAATTCTATATATGCACTTAAAAGTAAAGACTATATTATTTAATTCTAAGTGTATACGTACATAGCTATATATGTGTGTGTGTATTTATTCATTGTGTAAAATACACGAGTTATATTTTTACAAGTATATTTTATTTTTTCCCAAACAGATAAACAATCAGGTCCTTTATGGAAGAAGTCATCAAAATGCATCTGCCATTATTAAGACTGCCCCCACCAGGGTCAAACTGGTTTTCATTAGGTAAGATAAATGGGTTCTCTAAATATACACTCTCCTCTGCAGAGACCATTATTAGCATAAGACTATTTTATTTTTGTTTTGTCTAACAAAGTAACTGTATTCTACGCTTTCCTTTTCTGTCACTTTAAGAAAACCATGGACTGTTTGAACGCTAAGATTTTTCTTGTTTTTTCATGTTTCACAAGATGGAATTGGTAGTTGAGTTTACTGTTGTTTATATTTCAACAAGTATCTGTATGCTGAACCTTACTTTTCTGTAGAGATGTAATGGAGCCCTTTCACTGTTTTCATCATGGTTTTGTATATGCTGGTTCACTATTGTCTTTATGAAAGAACCAACTATTAGAGAACATAGGAAAGTATAGGAGCTTCTTACAGGAGTGCTGGTGACGGCTGTGGTATATTGAGGTGTTAGGGCACTTGCTAGTATTTGCTAGATCTTGGATTCATCCCCAGCACCAGATATGGTAGTGTGTGCCTATAATCCCAGCAATTGGCAGAGATTGGAGGGAGTCAGAAGTTCAAGGTCGTACTTGCGTACATAGAGAGTTGGAGGCCATCCCGCTGCTTAAGACATTCTCATTAAGAAAAAAAAAAGTGCTGGTCTGAGATGTAGCCTAGGAAAATCAGCTCTGCAGAGTTTGGGATTCCACATGCAGCCCACTCCACCAACCGGCTCCTAGAATGCTTGCCAGTAAGAGTTGGGAGTCTGTATGCCTTGCAGCCAGTTTTCTGTATCAGTAAGAGATGAGGTTAAGTCTCTGCTATTTAACTAAAATGAAAGTGAAGTTTAAATAATTTGTAGGTGGTGTAAGTAACCATGTTTGGTAAGTATTTCTGGGTGTCTTTTTCCTCTATGCTTCCATGACCATTTTTAAAGTGGACACCATAAAGCATCTACCTCCTTCATTGTTTTGTTTCAAAACTTTAAAATGACAGGCTGGGCTTTTTCCTCTATGCTTCCATGACCATTTTTAAAGTAGACACCATAAAGCATCTACCTCCTTCATTGTTTTGTTTCAAAACTTTAAAATGACAAGCTGGAGAGATGTCTCAACGGTTAAGAGCACTGGCTGCTCTTATAAGGACACAGGTTCAATACCACCATCCAAATGGTGATTTACAACCACCTGTAGCTCCAGTTCCAGGAGATCCAATTCCCTCTTCCTTGGGTATCAGGTGTGAACATGCTACATATAACAGGCAGGCAGAACACTTGTGCACATAAAATAAAATAAATAAGCCAAAATTTTTGAAAATAATCAATATAGGTTGGGGATGCAGCTCAGTGGGTAGAGCACTTGCCTAGAATACTCAAGGCCCAGGGTTTCATCGCCAGCACTGCAAAACAAACAAATAAAATGGTCAACACAATGAGAAGCATAGGATAAGGGCTGAAGGAATGTTCACTACCTTTTAAAGATGAAAATGATTGTTATTTTTCCTTTTGTCACTAATTACCATCAGTGAGACCTCTCCATTGCTGGGAACACTGGCATTCGAGGGTAGTTTTGTTCCCAGGTTGGGCAGTGGTGCAACTGGACACCCTTCCCCCACCTTTCAGCCCTACCTTGTACTTTTTCCTGATGCAGTCCTCCAGCTGCATCCTTTTTCCCTCCCTAATAGCTCTTTCTTCCTGTCTAGTTTTTTTGTTCTGGCTTCCAAAGGGGGAGATCTTCTTGTGTGTCTCTGTGTATTAAGCCAACTGCTGGGGCTTCCTCAGCTGCATCCTCTTTAGGGTTTCTTGTTCTTCTGATTGTCAGGAGTGTCAGATGAATTTGCTTATGGTAACTTGAGCAGATTTGAAGCAAGCTCAGTCACTGAAAAGGCTAAGATGTTCATTGAGAGAAATCCACACAAGTCACAGGTTCAGACTTGACTGCATGCAAAGCTGTGTGAGAATTAAACAGATGTGTACCTGCTGTGGTTTTGGTGTCGTTGTATGTCCCACAGGGTTCATGTGTTGTAAGGTTTGGTTTCCCATGTTGTCATGTAAAGAGTGGGTCCTTTGAGAGAGGGGTTTAAAAGTTGGTCAATCACTGGGTACTGCCCTTAGAAGATTAAGGTACTACTTCTCACAGATTTAGAGTTAGTCTTCTTGAAACTGAGTTCTAGCTTTGGGGCTAGAGAGAGAGTTCAGGGGGGTGTTTCCCTTCCAAGGAACCTGAATTTGGTTTCCAATACCCATATCTGGTCATTCACAACCAGCTGTGATTTAAGCACCAGGGAGATCAGATGCCTCTGTTCTCTTTAGGTGTCTGCATTCACGTGTACACATGCACAAATAAATATAATTTAAAAATTTTTAAAAAAAGATGCACTTGGGATGGAGTTGTAGCTGAGTAGAGGGCTTGCCTACCATGCATGAGGCTCTCAGTTCCATCCTCAGCACCACAAAGAGATTGAAACAGACAAAGAGAACAAATGAGCCTGATTGCGGAATCACTCTCTGCCTTCCGGGCTTCTCATGATGACTCTCCCTCTCTTATAAACTGCCCCAGTGGTGTCACCATTTATATAGGCACTCGCCACAGCTTGCACAATGCTGTTTGGATGCTCAGCCTTTGAAAGCATGAGCTAGCCCTCATCAGAGAAGCTGCTTCTTGTAGTAGATGGGAACTAATCTGATGATCCACAAACTGGGCAGGAACTAACCTAACAATCCACAAACTGGGCAGGAACTAACATAATGATCCACAAACTAGGCAATATGCAGAGAGTGCAAGCCTGGCACTCTGTTGTAAATGGGATGTGTTCATCAAAGCCCTCCCCTCAAGACTCAGGGATCTATGCAGAAGACTTGGAAAGATTGTAAGAGCCAGGCAATGGATGACTCCAAGCAAGCAGTGTCTTCTAGACACAACAGGGCTGATACACACATGAACTCAGACTGGCAGCATGCACAGCATCTGCACAGGTTCAAGCCAGATGGGGTCCCAGCACTGAGAAAAGGAAGTGAACATGCACTCCCACCCCTAACCAAGAAGCTATCTGCAATTGACACCCACTGGCAGAGGAAAAATCAGTTTTGTCTAGTAGAGTATCATTGGGTATTTTAACCACACTTCAGAGAAGACCCCATGCCCAGGAGTAGTTAGACCAACACAAAATGATCTCGATATATTTTTTTTTCACTTGTCTGCTTTTGCTGTCTTTGAGCATTTTTTTTTCTTATTGGTCTTTTGCTTATTTATTTTGATTTCCATTTAGAGCATGATGTTTCTTGTTTTTTGCTTATGTTTATGTTTGTTTATTTGTTTGTTTTTAAAGAGAAAGAGGAAAAGAACATAAATTTGTATGGACAGGGAGGATCTGGTAGTAACTAAGGAAAGAGAAAGCATAATCAAAATATATTATATGAAAAAAATATTTTTCAATTAAAAAAAGCCATGAGATAAACAAGTGCCTTTATAAGCTACCCAGCCTTAGGGACTCTATTAGATATATGTTTGAATTTGTATTGTATTATAGCAGTAAACACTTGGCTTTCTTTGTTCAGTGCATGGCATTGGCTATAGGTACAAGTGCTGTTACTGCTTCAGCATGGGTGGGGCCTTGCTTGCTAATTCTTGGCCTCCTGTTTTAATGAAGCAGAAAGGAAATGGAGTAGGGTCCAAAGGAAATCATTTCATGTAGTAAAGGATTTGGGAGCCAGAACCCTCCTCCTCCTGTAAAGAAAGACAAGCAATGTGAAGTTGACCATAGGGGACAGAGCTGCCTAGAATCTCAGGAGCAATGAGGACCTGTCAGCTCATTTTTCAGATCATTTCAAGTTTTTGTTCGTTTGTCTGGTTGTTGTGTTTAGAGCAGGGTGAATCAAATGAGAATTTGCTTGCTACGTTAATGGTGTACAAGATTGAGGAGGCTACTAAGTGTTTATTTGCTAAGGTGATACTAAGCAATTTAGAAGTTATCAATGTACACTGAAAATATTATTGAATGACTCTCTTTTAAACTGCCACAGAGCAGTTGTAGATTCTTCTACAAAGTAAAAATGATAGTAATTTACTATTGTGTGGATTTAAATATATATATTGTATATGTGTAATTCAAAATTCTTTCTAAGTCTACCTTTTTACAATTTTCCCAAATTAGTAAGTTTGAAAGATTTTTCTCTATTTTTATAGAAAAATAAAAAAGGATTAGCAGGGTAGCTGAGTGGTTGAGAGCTTGCCCAGCAAGTATGTGCAGGTTCCTGGTTTCAATATAAACAGTGCCAAAAGTAAAAACAACAAAACAGAAGAATAGGTCCATAGGAGGAACAAAGTTGTAGAGGTGATTCTGTACAGTGTCTTGTATCCACGTTGAAAGTTACAGGAAAATGAGCTTCAGCTGAATCAGGAGAGATGTGCATTGTGCCGACAGCCAGGCTTTATTGGACCGAGTTGAGACGTGTCCGGTATTTTATGTGCAGACAATGAATTAAGCCCCACTTGCCCAAATGGAAAGAACTATTGCCCTGGCTTATTTAGAAAGAGGAATCCTCCTCCCTCCCCCAGTTCCTGGATGAAAATTTGAAGAAGAAAACTTGGGTCCAGCAGCCAGGACTTGGAATCCAGCTGTTAATGCCTCAGCTGTGTGGGCTTAGTCAGTTTCCTGGTGTAATGGGGGGGATGAGTGCCTGGCCATATCGACCCCACAGTGTCTGCTGCTGGGGGACAGCTGTGAATACGGCAGGAAAAGCTGAGAAGGAAGGGAGAAGGTAGGTTAAAAAAAAAAGTAAGAAAGGAAACGGCACCAAAAAATGCAGAAAATGCACTCTCTCCTCTGTGTTCTAGTTTCAGGATGTCGGGAGCGTGCGTGCGTGCGTGTGTGTGTGTGTGTGTGTGTGTGTGTGTGTGTGTGTGTGTGTGTGTGTTCACACGCGAGTGCACAGGCATGCATGAATGAATGTTCATGTGTGTATGTATTTGGGGGGTTTATAGGTAGTTCATCTTCTACAGCATGAGTGTGGAGGTCAGAAAGTAACTTGTGAGGTCAGTTCTCTGCTCCCACCCTGT